TTCACACAGGGCTATATAGTTTTGGATTTTGTTTTCCCTTAATAATAAAAACCTTCATTTAAAAACTGCATGATGTGTTTACTTGTGTTATCTTTGACTAATATATAACTTTGTTTGACGATCTGAAACATTACAGTGTGACAAACATGCAAAAAGATAAGAAATCAGTAAGGGGGCAAACACTTTTTCACACCACTGTAAGTCAATGTAAAGTCCCCACAAGGAATGAAAACACAGCGTGTGTGTATGTGTCATCTTATGATTTTTCTCTTTCTCAGTTTGGAGATGATCACCCACAGACACAGTGCAGCAAAGAGTTTCTGTGTACCATTACCAAACAAGCAGTACAGGTGGAACGCTCCCTAAGACAGGCAGGAGCTGACTGCGCAGAGCCGACAGTGGAGGTATGTTCATGAGCTCAGCTTGTCTCTGAAACACTGTTGAATCTTAAGAGGAAAAAGTGGGAGATGATAACCTCCCTGTCCCCTCTATCCCTAGTGTCTGACTCCCACGACTGATACCATTTTGGAGCAGATGGTTCTGGTGACAGGGATCAGGAGGCTTACTGTCACGTAAATATCACTGATATATGATATGCCTGAAACTTTCTGAAGCGGTGTCATGGTTTGAAATGTAACTTGAACAATTTAGGATTTTTGAATTCAATACCGATATCAACATTTTTATAGCTATAATACTGATATATTGGCTGATAACCATGTTAACACATCTTGATAAAGATCCCTACAATTTATTTAAAGAATTGTGACCATGATATATGCTGATCCAAAAATGTTGCTGTTGAAAACTCATTAGTACTCTTGTAAGTGTTACTTCATGGTGTTTTTTTTTACTGTAAGATCTTGATACCTTTCACCCAACAAATCACAGTGATCTATAAAATATTTAGTGATTCAAAAAGCTTTTCAACTACAATTTGCCTGTTTTTGTACTAACCTCTAATGAATTTATTGTTTTTGTAGTGACATGTTCCAGGAGTTTAAAAAGAAACACCTGGAACGAAAGGCAGCGGCAGCAAAAGAACTGGGAATCTACTTAACTAACAATCCCATTGCCTCTGAGAATGTCAACTCAGCTCAAGAAACAGGATGCGGGAAGGAAACTGAGGATGGAGGAAGCCCAGCAGTGGGGAATAATAACAGCATGAGCCAACAGAAGCAGCCAGTGGAAGAGGTGTCAGTGGAGAGCGCTGCCGTAGTCTCTGCTAATGGTCTTGTGGTGCAGCCAGGCAAACAAAACCAGCATGAGGAGAAAACAGAACCAGACATAGGAGACAGTGAGACAGTGAAAGAGGAATCAGAGGTCAGGGTTGCAGCAGAGGAAACCAAGACCAATGTGCAAAATGGAGTAAAGAGCAGCACAGCCAATGGGGAGATGAAATCTGAGGCAACATGTGGTGAAATGAAGTCAGATCAGAAAAATGATAAAATAAATGGATCAGTCCTTAAGAGTAAAGGGACCTGGGCAGATGTTGTTTCAAAAGCTTTAATAGCAAATGGAACAGAAGACAAGGACACAGCAGTCAACGGAGTAACAGATAATGTCACTGCCAGCGGAACAGCTGAAGTGTGAACCTATATCAAATGAGAAAACAGTGTTATAGTCTAGTTGTCCAAAGTCACTGCTGTAGGATAAAAATCTCCCAGGATCTTATGTGTAATCTGAACCAAAGAACATAAAGCAGAGAGTAAGATACTTTAAAAGAGGGATGAGAGTATTACCTTGTGCTGGAGTTGTTACTACTGATGCTGGGAGAAGGCTGTGCTATTGAGTGTTATTTTTTCCTTTTTTTCCAGCAAAACTTTTTACTCTGGTGTACTAAACATGCCTTCACCTCTTTAACAGCAATCTTGTTTTTGTCACAGTTGGACACAATAAGTACACTTGTAAACATGGTGTATGACAGTATGAATCTATTACTCACCAGTCATGATTCAAGGGCAAGCAAACTAACCACATTAATGGAAGATATTTTTCAGTCAAGATGATGAGCAAAATAAGGTAGAAGACCATGTAATATAAGTGGAATGTTTCATGTATTTGGAATAAAAAGATTTGCATTAAATTTTACTGTTTGTATGATGTCATGCAGTTAAATCTAAACAGTGCAAGAAAAGAAAAGAAAAAACACCAGCAAGACTTAAACAACTGATGGGCCCATAAAAAATCCAACTGAAATATAACTGAAGTGCAAAGAGGACAATACCAGTGTGCTCCCTTTCACTGTCACTACAATTTTTGGGTCAATTACTACCAGTCATTTGCATGACTTTTACAGAAATATATAATACATGCATTCAGTGATGAAAGACATCTTAAATAAATTCATCCAAGATAGTCAACATGAGCTTTTCCAATCCCATGAAGCCTTATGACAAGCTTATCAGGATTGCAGCACAGTTATGCAAGATGCAACCCTCTATTTAGAGCATGGTTTATTTATTTAAAAATGGCAACAACACCAAAAAAAAGTCCAGTATTAGCCAACTCCTGTCTCAGCTCTGTGTTGCCCTCAGTGTAATCTCCAAATCAGAGCAGTGCTGGTACTGTGGTTCAGGCGGCTCTGTCCAGGTGGATTGTGGGAGTCTGTTAAGGTTACTGGCAGGAAAGGTAATGACTGCTGTGTCACTGAAGATGCTGATCAGATGGGAAGGACAAGACAGCTGTCTCTCCTCACACACAGACACAGCCTGACTGATGTAGCCATAGTCTCGCTTCAGCTCTCTCTCGATCGTCCTGTTGGTACGAGAGATAGAACATCACCTCACGTCTAGTCCTATTTCTTAAACATTACACACCATCATGCATGTCTTGTAAAAACCTGTCCCAGATGCCGCTGAAGCTGTTTCCAATTATTATTATCAGAGGAAGACATCGTATACTCCAGTTCTTCCACAGAAGGTTGTTGTACAGGGCTTTCCCACAATGCATCAGGTAAAAGAGTGTAGGCTTAGTCACCAGATGCTTCCCCTCCTGCACAATACAGTGAAACAAAATGCTGTTATTTCTGCATTATTTCTCACTTTCCAGGCAGCCAGTACGAACCTTGTTTCAGACATGCCATGTATTTGATCCATTACTTGTATTTGTGTGCTAAAAGGAAACTCAGACATTTCACATTTAAAAATCTGCCACTGAACAGCAACTTTTAAACACAACAATCTAACAAATGTTGTGTACTCTTTTCACGGTGTCTGTATATTCTTATTGTTCCAAGTTCCTGTTCCTGGCTGATGACTTCGACACCGTCCCAGTCAGTGGTGTGCCTGGTTTTGGTGTGGTCTTCACAGACAGCTGATATTCAGCTGATGTTGTCTACTACCAGTGTTTATTAATACCAGCTTTTATCATATGACCAACTTCCATATTTAGGTCGTCATGATAATATGGTCTCCATGACAACAGAACAAATTCTGCTGAAGATGACAAGACATGCTGTAGAAAGCTCTGGGAACAAATGGACAGTGATGTTTTTTTGTCAAACTATTTCCAAGGTCAAAAAATGTCTCTCACTCTCATCTGTGATATGATTTGAAAACTGGCTGGCAACTTAGAAGTGCTAAAATAATCTGCATTAAATGAGCTTAAACATTCAACAACAATGGATCAATCTATTTGTTCTCTGTATGATGCATCTCTAAAATAAACGGATCAACTTACCTCATTTTCTGTGAGTACAGTCAGACCAAGCTCTGTCAAAACATCCCTCTCTCCAGAGGAGAATGCAGGGTCATAAACAAAGCAGTCCTTCAGTGGAATCTAAAAGCAGAGGAGCAGTGAGACAAACAGACGAACAGGACCACATGAGAGTGTTTGTTATCTCAATCATGAAACCCATCTCTGACCTGTCCTGCATCCAGCAGCAGCAGCAACATGGCCAGCTGGTAGCGAGCTGAGACACAGGATGAAAAGGACCCCAGGCCATAACACACACACTCCAGCTGCTGACACAGCCTGCCATCTCTGCCCTTCTGTTGGTCACTGGGATTCCTAGTGAACTTATTTTCTGGAGTTTTCAGGAGGAATGCTGAGCGTGCCACCAGAAGATGCTCTGCAGAACAATCCTGAAAGGTTCATCAAGCTGCAAGCTAAAAGGCCCCATGGCCAAGTAAAACGTTCTGTTATAACACCACTAGTCCAGCACACTCACCTTTCCACTCCTGCAAAAACTCCTCACATCTTAGCTCAGACCTAGTGAGGGAGAAATAGAGAGTTTCCAGAAGATCTTAGGTTTATGCACAACCCTGAGTTGAAAAATGTGAAACATTAACTATATTCAAGGAGTCAGGGTTCTTACACAGTGTCTCTGATTCGTTTCACAATTTTCCCGATATCCAACTGCTCCTGCCAACTTGTTGAATTTGAAGACACCTGAAGTGACTTTGATTTCCGAGCTACCCCTTTTCGTCTCCGGGCCACCTGCCACTCTCCGGTATCCGACATCTATGCTGACTCACCGGTGCCACATATACACAGACATGTGATATGATGTTTGTGTTGCTGTCAAAGTTATTGTTGAAACGCGAGTTGGAGTTAGTATGTCTGTAACATGCGGGAATATTTTGAGTGTAACACACAGATTTTCTCTTCCGGTGTCGTGCCAATTGTTTTTTTTTATTCCTTTAAAATTATTTCGCTGGTTTGTTGTTGTCAAAAATAATGCATATTCAATAAACGATGTGAGTGACTGGATCATCTGATGGATTCAGTGAACATATGTGGTCTAAAATAGCAACCCGAAAAAGATACACTTAACGTTACATGTGCAAACCAACGAAAGACATTTTGCAGGACACTGAATACCGGAAGTAATTATGTTTTCGTGTGCAAGAAGCTAGCTGACATCGGCTGCGTTATCTTTCTTTACTGTCAGAGAAGAAAGGCTATGTAACATTAAGTGATCCTCAGGTAGGGGAGTGTCTAGTATTTTAGGTGACTTACATAAGACGGATATTTATTATCATTTCTCAAGACAAATGTTTCATGTAAAGCGAGTAGTTAAACTACATCGGCTAACGTTAGCTTTTGCTAGTAAAAGTTAGCTTGTCTTCACGTCTCGTTTCCCCCCATACGTGCATAGTTATCTGTCAACGTAATGTTTTAGATGTTTTCCTAAGATTATTGGTGTTACCTAGCTAGCATTTGAGATGATTCAGATTATCCTAACGCTAGCTAAACAATAAATATTGTTGAACTGACATATGGGCAAGCTACTGTACAGTGACAGTAAGCATAAGTTACTAACATTATTCAAAATAAATCAGACACACTAAATATAACGTTAGTTTGAATTAAAGATGAAATAACGTTTTAACTCACTAGATTTCCCTCCAAGCTTTCAGCTATATTCTCTTGGCTTTCATCAGCAAATAGTTTATCCAGAGATGTCCATGTCCCATCTGTATGGTCGGAGGGGGGAAGAGGAGGAGGAAGGCGTAGAGATTGAGAGCTTTGAGGTGACAGACTGGGACCTGGCGAATGAATTCAACCCAGACCGCCGCAGACACAAGCAGACCAAGGAGCAGGCCACCTATGGTATCTGGGCTGACAGGGACTCTGATGAGGATGAGAGGCCTAGCTTTGGAGGCAAGAAGTAAGGCATGGGTTTGGTTTTCTTTCTGCTCCAATGGCCCATCTTTGTCATCCCAAGAAGAATAGTACATGAAAATCCCAGCAATTGCTTTTAAAACGTTAACTAAATTAACCAATTCCTTGTGTTTTCTAGATCTAAAGACTATACTGCTCCAGTCAACTTTGTGAGTGGTGGTCTGCGTAAGGCTGCAGCTGAGGAGAAACAGCATGAGCAAGATGTGGGGTCTGATGACTCTGATGATGATGCTCCTTCAGCACCTCGTGCCACTGCACCCAAAAAACTTCAGATGGTAATTGTAATTGTGTGTGCAGTTTAATCTGTAAAAGAAATGCATGTGGAATTTATGATGTGAACAGTTATATGATTTATTAAAAATGCATTGTTTTTGGTAGGGTAATTTCCGTGGGAACCAGTCACAGAGGTTTGCAGGTGGCATACAGTCTGGTCAAGGCATTGGTAGCTGGGAGAAGCACACAAGGGGGATTGGACAGAAACTTCTGCAGAAAATGGGCTACCAGCCAGGCAAAGGCCTGGGCAAGAATGCTCAAGGTGGGTAAGCCTGAGAAAGCTATGATATTGACACGTTTATTAATATTGTATGATTTAAAAGAGCAACTTTGACATTTCAATTTATGCAGGTATTGTAAACCCTATTGAGGCGAAGATTCGTAAAGGCAAGGGAGCAGTGGGTGCTTACGGCACTGAGCGAACCCAGCAGAGTCGTCAGGATTTTCCTGTGGTTGACTCAGATGAAGAGGAGGAAAAAGTAGAGTGCTGAACAAAATTCTCTCCTTTGTTTCCTTGTTTGTGTATTCCATAGCAGATGTGATATTGTATTTTAAAATTGTCAATTTCTGTCTCTGAAGGAGTTTCAGAAGGAGCTAGGCCAGTGGCGTAAGGATCCTGCTGGGTCTGGGGCAAAGAAGAAGCCCAAATACTCCTACAGAACTGTTGATGAGCTCAAGGCTAAAGGCAAATTGGCAGGGCGGAGCACAGCAGCATCCGCTGGAGAGCTGGCACAGGTCAAGGTATGTTAGAGGGATTTCTTTGATTAACATTCCTTCTCTTTTGCATGACAAATTTCGATCAGGATCTTCATAGTCTTTGAAGGCTGTAATGTTGTAATAAGATTTAGGAGCTTAATTCTACTCAATATAAGAACCTGAAGATGACATTTTATATAAATATAAGAACATAGCCAGCTACCATTTTTGTTACAGAGTCTCATTTACCACATATCTCTTCCCATGTCTAGGTAATCGATATGACTGGGAGGGAACAAAAGGTCTATTACAGTTACAGTCAGATGACCAACAAACACAGTGTTCCAGATGAAGGTCCACCGAGTATATCCACTCGAGATCAGAAGGGGTCTGGCTTTGCTCTCCCTGAGCTTGAACATAACCTGCAGCTACTGATAGATCTTACAGAACAGGACATATTACAGGTATGAGATGTATCAGCCACCTAAGGCTTGTTATATGTTGTTGTGGCTTGTACAAAAATGCTCTATGTATCTCTCTGCTACTTCTACCACATACTGACACGTCTTGTGTTTTGCTATCGTATTACTCTTGCCTGTAGTCTGCCAGACGTCTACAGCATGAAAAAGATGTAGTTGTGTCTCTGAGACACGAGTCACAAGCACTGCAGAGCAGACTGGATGTAGAGCAAGATGCCATCCAAAGAATAGAGGCCGTATTGGCACTGGTGGAGCGTTTTCCTTCTGGAGAGACGGCACCGGGCGAGGGACCTACCTTGCAGGTGCATTTACAGTTAACACATAGCCTAACAGCTACAGGTATCAGCCTCCTCCAATTTTTTTAGTTCCTTCTCTGTTTTGAAAACTGTTTTGGGTGCTTTCCTTCTTTGTTCAGGAGTGTGCCCGCATCTTTGAGACCTTACAGACAGACTATTACGAAGAATACAAGACAATGGGATTGGCAGATCTGGCTGTAGCTGTTGTTCATCCATTACTCAAAGAAAAACTTCGTTCCTGGGACCCACTGAAGGTTTGTTTTCACAGTTATCTTCTTTTGAGGTAACTACATTAACTACATCCTGTCATTATTTGCTTTAATCCTTTTCAGGACAGCTCTTACTGTCTGGAAGACATTGGTCAGTGGAGAGCAATACTGGAATCAAGGGACCTACATTCCAGTGTCCCAGATTCAAATATGGACCCTTACCACAGGTCATACCACATTTGGCTGTGCTTATATATTTGTATTATTAAATTCCAGTGCATTACAGTTTGTTTTTCACAGCATGCGTTTGTGTCATGTATCCTGTTATTTTTGTTACAGACTGTTGTGGGAAGTGTGGATCCCAGTGATGCGGTCCTGTGTGTTAGGCTGGCAGCCTCGTATGGTCGGCCCAATGGTGGACTGTGTGGAACTGTGGGCTCCTCTCCTCCCCCTGTGGATACTGGATAACCTGTTGGAGCAACTGATCTTACCTCGGCTACAGCGAGAGGCAAGATAAACACAATATCTCCACCTAAAGACACTTGCATGTTGAGAAACCCCCCTTTCACGTAATTTATTTGTGGATAATTTCCTTCTACATGCTGCAAGCTGTTTTTATTTATTATTTCCTGTTTGATAGGTGGATAACTGGAACCCTTTAACTGACACAGTGCCCATCCACTCTTGGATCCATCCTTGGCTGCCTCTTCTCCAGACACGCCTAGAGCCTCTCTACCCGCCAATCAGGAGCAAACTTTCCAACGCATTACAAAGGTGGCATCCCAGTGATGCCTCAGCCCGCCTCATCCTGCAGCCATGGAAAGATGTCTTTACACCAGGTGCATGGGAGGCTTTCATGGTGAAAAACATTATCCCTAAGCTAGGTATGTGTTCATCAGTGACAGCCTTAAGTATGCCAAAGCAATGCAAGAACATGTATTTCTCTGCAGTCTTCCATCCTGTTTTCCTTCCCGATCTGTGCTTTTCCCAGTGGTTTCTCATCTTGTTGTGATTGTTTGTTTCCCTCCACAGCTTTGTGTTTGGAAGAGCTGGTGATCAACCCTCACCAGCAGCAGATGGAGCCATTTCACTGGGTGATGGATTGGGAAGGCATGCTGTCTCCCTCCAGCCTTGTGTCCCTGCTTGATAAAAACTTCTTTGCAAAATGGTTGCAAGTCAGTGAATATACTTACATAAATAAATTGCATAATACATTACAGAGAATTATTAAGATGAGGTTAGCAACAGTTAATATTTGTACATAGTTCATTTGCATTTATGTTTTTATTGTATGTCTTTTGTTGTTGATTATAGGTGCTGTGTTCATGGCTGAACAATAGCCCTAACTATGAGGAAATCACTAAATGGTATCTTGGTTGGAAAAGTATGTTCAGTGATGTCTTGTTGGCACAACCACTCATAAAAGAAAAATTCAACGAAGCTTTGGACATCATGAACCGTGCAGTGTCTTCAGGCATGGGTTAGTTCTGCATGCACTGAAAATTGTAGGAATAAAGCACTTTTTTTCTTTGTTGTACCAAAACATATTGCAACACATTCTTTTTCATATCCACAGGTGGCTATATGCAACCCGGTGCAAGGGAGAATATTGCATATCTCACACAGACAGAGAGACGGAAGGACTTCCAGTATGAAGCAATGCAGGAACGCAGGGATGCCGAGAGTGTGGCTCAGAGGGGCATCAGCACTGGTGTGCCAACTAATTTTAAAGATCTTATCCAGACCAAGGCAGAAGAGAACAATATTGTCTTTATGCCCTTAGTAGCCAAACGGCATGAGGGCAAGCAGCTATACACATTTGGGCGTATTGTTATCTACATAGACAGAGGGGTTGTGTTTGTGCAAGGAGAAAAAACATGGGTGCCCACATCGCTGCAGAGTCTGATAGATATGGCCAAGTGAGGGTGGACAGTGATTCCTTGGTCTGCCAAGTGTAAAAAGGCGAGTAGTGGAGCATATGTTTGCTTTTTATGTAACTTTAGTATAGTGAAACCTTGCCATGTGGTTTTGTAAATTTTTAAAAGATCAGAACTGTGAATAAATACTTTTTGATTTGGTTTTCTCTGTCCTTGTTTTAATCTAGTGAAACAGGAAGGCAATTTTCTCTAGCATATTTAATTACAAGTAAATAGATTTTTTGTATAAATACATCTTACAGGGTGGTCATACACTTAATATTTAAGTACATGTTAAAAAAAGTAGATATATTTATGCAGACTATTATTTTTCTCCTATGTTAATTTTTAACTAGGAGGTGATGCAAGACTGCTTTGGTTAATTTTTAGTACTTTTTCCATTACATTTTTACCATTGGTATTGTATACATTTTTTTTTTTTTTGTATGGGACGACTATCCATACGATAACTGAAATAAAGGGGAAATATTGTGTTGTTCCAGCTTTCTGAATGACTATAGTCGTGTTCAAATCTGTTTCACTGTCGGTCGCGGTTTAAGTGGGTTCTCTGGCCATCCGGTTTAAGATTTTTGGCACGGCAAGGCTTCCGTTCGCACTCGGTGCTATAGCAGGATAAAGTCTCTCGTTCATTTGCTCACAATTTAACTATTTCAGACGGATGTGTGCATCACGAAGGTTTGTGAATACCAAACAATGTTTCGTCAAACATATGACATATCGAAGGTTTAGTATGTATGATCGTAAATCCGCCTTTATGAAACGAAAACCTAACGATTGGTTGTTAGCTATTGAGCTAGCCAGCCTTTGCTATCAGAGCTAACTCCCGCAGGGCTAATTTTAGCTAATTTGGTATAAATTATATTGGTACGTTGCTCTACCTAACGTAAGGGATGGTTTCGCGATTCATCTTTGTTGTATTGAACTCAGTCTGTAGTTTCTCTATCTTTATTTAGTCAGCCATGTCGTCGGAAATCCTGAAAAAGCGAAAGTCGAAGGTCCTCCGCAGTGAAGCAGGGATACCGGAGATGAAGCGAGGTCGCGGAGAAGGAGAACAGCAGGTAAAGATAGGACGTCCCCACGAGGGAACAAAGTTGTGTATTAAGTGAATTAGAACATATTCCAAAACGTTACAAAATGTAAAGATCTCTAAATCGAATTGTACAAAGTTTCTGGTTTTATAAAACACCATCTTATTCCAAGCTCAACAGCCAATAAAGCAATTACAACCTTAGAAATGATCAGAGTTGAATTAGCTTCTATTTGTCAGTCTCAGTAAAAATGTCTCTTTTAGAAGCTTTTGCAGCATTTGTCATGTGGTTTTGAGATATTCGACATCCGTTGTGTCCTATTTGCTTTGGACTAACATCACTAAAAATTCTGCAGTTAAATCAGTTGTGTTCGAGTTAAATGCCCTTATGTAACTGAAACTGTAATCACTTTTCGATGAATGCACCATGTGATCAATACTAGGTTGGATGTGCCTTGTATATATTTACACACTGTATTCTTAATAAAGAAGTACTAATTTGAAATAACGAAGGTATATTTTATCAACAGGAGTGCTATATAATGTATATAATAACAAAGCATTATTATTTTAGGAGGCACGCACATATAGTGAGGAAGTGGAGTTGGATGGCCGGGACCCTGAGCAGGACTTTCTTCAGTACAAAGAGTCATGTGAGAATTTGGCTAAACTCCTGAATGATATCCAGGACCTTAAAGCCAACGGAGCCAAGGAAGGGGTAAGAATCTTACTTTTAAGATACACATCCAAACAATTATGTCTTTAAGGACTGAAGTTATTGTCAGTAATAATGTAGCCACATTACATAATGGTTAAAATCATCATGTTGATGTACTGGATTGGTACTGTAGAAACAAGTACATCCTCCCACAGCAGAAACTTTACATTTACAGTTTTTAGTATTGGTAAAAGTAATACACCACAACATTGTGTATTTGTTCCTAGATAAAGTTGGTTCTGTGTCTCCACCATAATAATGAAATATAATTAGTTGTATCTGTTCTCAGTGTGCTGAGGTGGAGCAGAGACGTCTGCAGAGCTGCATCCACTTCATGAACCTGAAAAAACTTAATCGTCTGGCTCATATGCGACTAAAGAAAAGCAGAGACCAGACACATGAGGTAACCTCCGTTCAACTCTTAAATATTGCTCTGTGCTTATGAGATATTAAGGGAGATACCTGCTTAGGTTAAGTTCACCCTATTTGTTCGTTTTCTGACAAAGTGCTCCTCAGTTTCCTTTTGTGATGATCAAGAAAAAAAAGTTGAATTGAGCTCTTGCTTCTAACTGCAGTAGCTGCCACTGTCACCAGTTCTTAGTAGTTGTTTCTATAGAATCCTGCTTTTGATTCTTGTCATATTGTTTAGTGTGCATTTATTTCAGGGTTACCTGTGTAGTGTTTGTAAACTAACTTTAACCACTGTGTTTTTTGCCTTCACTCAGGCAAAACAGAAAGTGGATGTGCTGCACCTTCAGTTACAGAACCTTCTCTATGAAGTTATGCATCTTCAAAAGGAGATCAGCAAGTGTCTGGAGTTCAAGTTAGTAGGGATTTATCACCAATTTCATGGTTCCATTCAGGCCTTGTTTTTGTGTGTGTATTTTTCTGTGTTTTATTAAATGACCAACAATTTGGAACACTAAAGAGAGAAATGGATGTTGTCACAGTGGTAGTTAACTTCTCTTTTCTCTGTCCCAGGTCTAAGCATGAGGAGATAGACTTGGTGTCTGAGGAGGAGTTTTACCAGGGGGCGCCACAAGAGATTTCCAGGCCTCAGCTCACAAAGACTGATCCCCACCAACTCACACTGGCACGACTGGACTGGGAGCTTGAGCAGAGGAAGCGGTACAAAAACCTGCATAGAACCATTTGTGGCAGGCTGTAAGAAAACAGAGCAGTTGTTAAAAGTTTGTTTGAATGCAGGTTGGCAGAGAAATACAAGGAGTCTCAGGCCACAAAAGAGAAGATCCAGAAGAGCATTGAGGTGAAAAAGGAATATCTGAGAAGCTTACAGCCAGGACTGCATGCCATCATGCAGGTATAACAACACTGGCAGGGTTGCCATATTGATCGTTTGAACTTTTATAGGACCATTACCAATGTATTAGCAGCTTGGAGCACTGATTTTGCTAAGTGTTTTAAAAATGCATATTTAATATTTGTCTTACTAAATGTTTTGTTTATTTGTGTATCATTGCTCTCTAACAACCTAAGAATATTTTCCCTTTGTTGGGGTCAAGGTCTGCTGTACAACCAGTGGGCACAATATATGGATCCTCTGAATAATTATGATTAATGCTCCATCTTCTTTGACAGGCATCTCTCCCAGTGCAGGAGTACTTGTCCATGCCTTTTGAACAGACTCAGAAACAAACAGAGATTGCCCGCCATCTCCCTCCACCTCTGTATGTCCTGTTTGTTCAAGCCAATGCTTATGGCCAGGCCTGTGGTAAGTAATCAGTAGAGAATATCTTATTTCTTCATGTGGTGCAAGCCTTGATTGCCAGTGTTTTATACTTGCATTTATTTCAGACAAGAACCTGAATGTGTCCATTAGTGGTGATGTGGATGAGGCCAAGGCCTTGTCCAAGCCTCCAGAAGATTCCCAAGGTACAAACAGCTCTTTACATCCCTGTGATCAGATGTACATTGTGCACATATTCATTTTTCAGTTGTTTTATATTTCAATACATTGTGTTTGTACATTCTGAAGAAAAGAAACATGAAACCATTTCTTCTGTATCATCCAGATGATGAGAGTGATTCAGATGCAGAGGAGGAGCAAGAGAAAACGGTGAGTTTCAGGGCTGGCTTTACTGCAAAACACACACCCTCAGGTTCAGTGATTTTTTTTTAACATACCCATCTCTGCACCAGACATACAAAACCGCTGCTGTAGCTGTCAGTCATCATGGTATGGTGGGCTGGGGAGCAGCAGCTATCGATAACTTCTTGCATCTCTGAGTGCCAACAGAGGGATTCAGAGAAATACTGTATTTGACAAGACTGGCTAGGTGTCTGTAACCTGAGCCCACCTTGCGTGTGCACACCCCACACCAGACCAGTGATGGTTTTTCATTTCATGTCCTGTTTCTCCTGCCTCTGCTTTTCTCAAAAGAGGAGAAGGCCAACTACCGGTGGCCAGCTGGATGACAAAAGACGGGAGATGCTGAAAAGGCACCCTCTGTCCCTCTGCTTGGACCTCAAGTGTAAAGGTAACGCTACATGCTTCACATATGTGTCTGCCCAAAATGTTTTCTGCATGGCGAAATATTCCCTGTCTTTACACAGCATTTTTATGCCCAAATATTTAGTTCATCTGTGTTGTACAGTAACTCTGTGCTTATCAGCATGTGAAAGAAAGCAAGCAAGAGCCACTGTACTATGATGACATGACAACACTTGACCACCATGCTCCCCCTGCTGGTTATAAGAGGAATAGCAACAGATTATAGGGAGATCTGCATTGCAGGCGTAATTCTACCTAAAGGGGGGGAGTGGGGTGGGGATGTAGAGAGGTGAGAGACACTTACAGCATCGTGGGTCCACAGCACCTACAACACATTGTAAGCATATTTTCTTTTCATTGGCCTTTCTCTGATTTCTGCTTTTATTTCTAGTGCCCTTGCTCTCCCCAGTCATGCTCACTGCTGCCAACTGCAGCAGCCAGTTTACTGCAGCATAAGCAAAAATTGAGTAGTGTAGTTGTCTGTGAGTGATACTATGTCACTAAGTTTGTGCTGACTGCAGACAGTGGAACATGAAAGACGACCACCAGCGTAGTACGTGTGTTGCTAGCTGCTGTCCTGACCGAGAGAGTACTGAATGAAGCTAGTAATGGATTAGTTCATGATCATGTGTTCTCTATCTTGTCTCCGCAGATAGCAGCACCCTCCACCTCTTCTTCTACTACCTGATGAATCTGAATATTATGACAGTCAAGACCAAGGTGTCCACTTCCACAGACCTCAACACAGCCACTAGCGCAGAGTGCGTGTGCAAGTACTTGTAACATGTTCACATTACAGCAGAAAACGGCTTTTGCATGCTCCTCAATTGTTGTTGTGTACGTGGTGCACAGCGCAGGTTCTGTGCAGACTTTAACCCCTTCTGTGCTGACCTTTGTGTGCGTAGTCAATCACTGTTTCACCCTGGCTTCACCTATAGAATCCCAGGTTACAGTATGTAACTATCATTTCTGAATTTTCCCAAACTGTACAATATGATGATCCTCATGTTTTGATCAGATAGACAGGCAGCCTGTTTAGCTAGCAAACAAGTGCTGCTACCAGGACTGTTTATAAAAAAACATGGTCTGATTCTCTAAAACGTAACATTGGTCATCTCCAACTAGCAACATTAGCACCGTAGCTGCACCATTTTGTACAGTGCCCCCTGGAAATTCTGTGTGAGTTTTGCCACGGAACGCACAGCACAAGTCCCTCCTTTTTACGCTGTAATGTACCTTTAAGCATTCATCTCATTCTTTCTGTCCTTGAAAGCAAAGTTTAAGAATTTCCTTTTTATTAGCAGGAACCTGCTGAAATCGGACACTCTGCTCAGCTGCCTTTATGCCAACGACCAGGGACGGGAAACACCCAATCCAGCTAATCGCTACCAGTTTGATAAAGTCGGGTGAGGATGTCAAGTAAAGTAACTACGAAGACCAAATTATATCGTTGAATTGAACAAATCCTAAGTAGAATGAACACCTCATTTTCTTTTAGGATTGTTTCCTTTGCTGATTATGTGGAGGAGCTGGGCCACCCCTATATGTGGGTCCAGAGTCTCGGAGGACTACATTTTCCCAGTGACACATCAGAGGTGTGTATGTTGAAAACAAATATTATCTTAGTATTGCATTGTTTCTGTTTGTTACAGCCATATCATATTGGTATGTGTATGTTTTCACAGGTTGTACATGTGGGCAGTTCTCTCAGTGCCAGTTACATGGAGAGCACCATGAAGCTGCTGAGGAGTAGAGTGCAGTCCCGCTTAGCTTTGCACAAACAGTTTGCCTCTTTAGGTACGTTATTTGTTAACAGCTTTTCACATGAAAGACTCCTGATGAACAGACTGTAAATTGTGACCGATCGTTTGTTCTCCTGGCCTCAGAGCACAGCATTATCCCGGTCTCTAGTGAGTGTCAGCACCTCTTTCCTGCCAAGGTTATCTCCTGTTTAGCTCGCTGGACCACCACAACTTACCAGGAGTACATGGTACACAAGCACACACATCCAGATATTTAGAATCACATCTACTGAAGGTATTCATCTAAATACACCTGATGAGGCACATCTCACTGATATTTCTCTTCCTTTCAAGGAACTTGCATATACATGTCATGTGACCAGTGCTGGGCTGGCAAAGGAGACTGATCTGTACTTTATGGGAGTGATCGAAAGAGGCACAGGTAAATGCTATCACTGACAACAGAATTGACTGTTACTAATAATTTGGTTTGAATATTTCTGAGAATCTGTCTCTTCCTCTCAGCTCGTCTCCAGGCAGCAGTGGTGCTGAGTCCTCGTTACCCAGAGATCTCTCCTCTTTTTTCCCTCTCTCTCAGCTGGAAGGGAGAGCGCAGTGGACGCACCGATGACAACCTTCGAGTATGAACTTTTATAGTAATGGTCATTTGTGTCCCAGAAGCTTGTGCTCTATTACTGTGTAAGCGCAAGCTCGTTTGTCTAGTCCCTTTACTGACAACACATCTGAAATTTCTTTTTTTTTTTTTTTTTAGGCCATGGAGTCCTAAGTCAACGTGTTCAAAAATGAGCTACAGGGACCATGTCCAGGACACCAGCTCCTGACCAATCAGATTGCACGTCTGTGTGTGTGCCTGGATGTGTATTTGGAGACTGAAGGTCAAGATGACGGTGTGGAGGGACCACGAGAGTTCCCCCGTGAAAAGATGTGCTTGCGGACTGTCAGGTACAAGTTCACAGAAGGAAGTTAGTCAACATTTTACACACATATGGTCAGAGACACGCTGAATGAGTTCACCTCTGATGTCTCTACCTTTTTTAATTTCAGAGGTCCAAATCGTCTGAAGCCATTCAAGTACAACCATCCTCAGGGTTTCTTCAGTCATCGCTAAGCCTGAATATATGATTCTCCTGCTGTACTTTGCAACTAAGCCAAGTTTCCTTTGTGACTGACACACGAAGTTGTACTTTTGTACCAGTTTGAAAATAAAAACATGTTATTTTCTTGAATGTGTGTATATCTGGTCTCTTTATGGCTCTGCTGTGTCCAGGCTTTGTTGTTCACTCAGTGTTCCTGTTTTATGCCTCTGCATTCTGCTTCACCCTTGTCTCTGTGCTGCTCCATTATAGGTGTTGTCTGCACCAGCTGATTATTATGCCATTGTGGTTTAGTGCTGGAGTTTGCTGAGTCATTTCCACAGATAATCAGGCCCATGGAAAATTATGTTTGGGGTACATCCCAGGTCACTTTTATGCTCGCTCATTGATCCGAGTCCCTTCCATCTTAACACTGAAAAGATACAAGAGAGGGAAATGTGGATGCATATATGAGAGACTTGATATGTGTTCAGAGTGTATTGTCAACAGCTACCCTTTGACCACTTACCCTTACCTGATTTATCATCCTGGCTGCTGTAATAGAAGCAACATGGGTTTTTATTTAGGATTCTCTTAGAGTAATCCTTGATAGAATACCTAATGACTTGCTAGCTGCAGACTATAGAAGTGTTTGTGCCACAAGTATTTCTTTTTTTCTTGAACAGTAAATCCACTAGAACAACCTAATCCAGAGTTTAGCGATTTATGGATAGGGATGTACAGTATGTAATTAGAAAGATGAGACTACTTTGTGACAAGGTCATTGGTGGCGATTGCTATATTAAATGTGAGTCAATTTTCTGTTGGTGCTAAAGAGCACAGCAGGCAGTTTTATTGATGTGTATTTGTCACAAGATATAAAAAATGTAGATGCAGCCTAGGATGCATTCTGACTAAAGGTTATTTATTGGAAAAGAGGACAAGATCTCATCTGTTTCATTTGATTCTCAAAGGACAAAATGACAGATTGAGATTGGAAAGCTATAAAACATACCCGTAAGAAGCATAAACAAAATGAAGCTCGTTTGACATAGCTGCTGCCATTTTCCAAGAATGGCTTCACAATTGTTCAGTGTGAGTGGTCAATTAGGACTAATGTAATTTCGCCTGCAGTTAAGTTGATTACTTCATTAGAAAGTAAAATTCCAGAATACAAAACTGCTATAAAACAGCCAGTACACTAAAATGCACAGTGACAAATTAAAATCATTTGTAACGTCATACTGTGTTTTATGATGTAGTTGTTGGTCCCATTAATAAAATATCAGATGCAAAGAGGTTGAATTTAGAAGGGTTATGATGTTAAGACAACTCTGAAATTATGCCAGGAGAGACCTCCTTCCACCGTCGGCCAATGCGTGTCTGATGTCAGCTCTGTATCCATAAAAAAGAGGTTGCTCAGTGGCTTAAATTCGACTGTTGCTGATTTTTAGTAGACATGGACTCCGATGAGTGGGCTGTACTCATGAATAATTCCTATTTAAAAAATGTTTGCTGCACCTTTGAAAGATTGTAAAAATCTGTGAATAACTTGAATGTGACCCACAAGGGCAGGTATTTCCTGTTAACTTTTCATTATTTCAAAAGTAAAGACTTGTTCTTTATGGATCTTAAGTCAACTCATGATACTAAACCTATTACCGATGATTATGGTAATTATGAATTATTAATCATGAGATAACTAGGTGACTTAAAGGGACTGCTGTAGTGTGTGAGCTTTCCTTTTGCAGTGAGGCAGAGTTGGGAAAGAGAACTGGGTCTATTCTGTGCAGGCAAACAACACTGCTCCTGATTTATACATGAACATGGTCTGTGGGACATGAAGAAGGGTGCGGTGGCTGCTGTGGGTGGTACAGCTCCCTCTCTCCTTAGCCGCAATGCAGTGCAGCTACTCGCATTATCACCTTTTGTCTGCACAGTTTTATTACTATACTGTTGACGCTCAACTTAAGGTCAGTGTGCTATAGATTTGCAGCGTAAACAGGTTAAGAAAACCTTCCCAAAAGACTCTTAAGTTTGGTTTTTCATTCTTTATTCATCTGTTTCATATTGCATATTCTCAGCAGTTTTTACATAGCACAGTCATCATTGTCCTAACGTTGCAGACCAGAAGAGTAAGACACTTCAGTTCACCCATCAGGAGAAAGCTGCATTAAGGTGCACAACAAGCAAAATTCAAGTCTTTCTTACTGATGTATCTGTAAATATAATCTAGACATTTGTACCTTTTTAAATATAGATTTTTAGGCTCAGTATCTGTCACAATCTTTAGCTTGACATTGCTTTGACATCTCTGCCAATGAAGGCTTGTACATCAGGGCCCTGCATTCCCTATCAGTGGGATTCGATTTAAATGCACTTGTTATTAAGGGCAGTCGTCACAATAAAATAAAGTTTAGAGCATTCTGCATTCACTACAGTCATACAGTACATCATAAGCTTCAGGAGTGTGTAATGGCCATACTTAGGGAGCAGGGGGGTTATTTGCTACAGAAATCACTATTGCTTACCTTTACCTGTTTTGTTTTGGACACTAATGTGCCTACCTGAACAGCTGGATGCATCCAGCCTGTCTGCCCTGCTCTCCCTTCCCTCACATATGGTTCTCTGACCTCTCTACCTCCTCTTCCCCTCCTCACACCCTGAAACACACTTTTTCAGTCCTACTTCTTGGCCTTCTCCTCCTTGCTCTCCTTTGAATTGGTGCCAGAAGATTTCTCTGCTTTCTCTCCACCCTTCACCTCCTTGCTCTCTTCTTTACTAGTTTCCTTTTTCTCTGGCTTCTTCTCCTCTTTCTTCTCTGTTTTTTCAGGCTCATCTTTAGGTGCAGGCTTTTCCTCGGGCTTCTTCTCCTCCTTCTTTCCCTCTGATTTCTCAGGCTCTGTTTTTTGGGTGGGCTTTGCCTCGGACTCAGCTTTCTCTGATTTAGGAACAGAGGGCTTCTCTTCCTTTTTAGGCTCAGTCTTAGGAGCAGGTTTGTCCTCTGAGGGCGTGCTGGGAGCAGCAGGTTTCAAAGTGTCATCCTTCTTTGGCACTTCATCTGCTTTGCTCTCCGTCTTTGTATCAGGTGTGTCCGCCTTCTTTGCTTTGCTCTCTGGCTCTTTCTCTTTGGGCTCCTGCTCTTTCTCCTTCTTCTCCTCCTTCACAGGCTGCTCTTTCTCCTTCTTCTCCTCCTTCACAAGCTGCTCTTTCTCCTTCTTCTCCTCCTTCACAGGCTGCTCTTTCTCCTTCTTCTCCTCCTTCACGGGCTGCTCTTTCTCCTTCTCCTCCTCCTTCACAGGCTGAGGCTTCTCCTCTTTCTTCTCCTCTTTAGGGGTGTCTTTGGCAGTGGCTGGCTTGGCCTTCTCTTTCTCTGGAGACTTTGGTTCAGGGGTCTTGGGAGGAGGGGATTTAGATTCAGGAGATTTGCTGGGTGGAGATTTTGACACGGGTGACTTTGACTCATCTCCTGCAGGGGACTTGACTGCAGGTGATTTTGGCATTGGGGATTTGGCTGCTGGTGATTTAGATTCTGGTGATTTTTGTGGAGATTTGGACTCAGGTGATTTGACAACAGGAGATTTAGGTTGAGGGGACTTGGACTGAGGGGAACTTGAAGGAGGAGATAAGGCCTTTTCTGGAGATTTAGACTTTTCTTCCTCACCTGCCTCCGCTTCCTCTCCCTTCTCCTCTCCTTCCTCCTCCTTCTCTTGCTCTTCTTTGCCTTCTTCCTCCTCTTCTTTGGTTTCCTTTTCTTCCTCTCCTGCTTCTTCTTTCTTATCCTCCTCTTCCTCCTCATCTGCCTCTTCTGTCACCTCTGTCACCTGGGTCTCATCTGTCTGTTCCTCCACAATGACAGTGTCTGAGATCTCCTCACCTTTCACTTTTAAGTGGGCAGTGATTCTGCCTTCCAGGTAGGGGTATGGACCACCTCCTGACACATAACGTTTCTCCTCTCCCTCCAGTAGTTTCCTGTTTTAAAGACAAAAGCACAGTCAAGTCATAATGTCAATAACTCTTTTACATCAGGATGTGCGGTTTTAAACCCTGACCAACCTATAAGCAGCAATCTCAATATCCAGAGCCATCTTCACATTCAGCAGGTCCTGATAGTCTTTCAGTTGGCTGGCCATCTCCCATTTGGTGGTTTTCAGCTCACTGTCCAGCTGATTGATGGTCTCCTGTGAAATAAAGGCCTCCCAAGTCAAATATCATTCTGATGGTATGAAAAGATATGTGAAATGAATTAATGAATGCTTGTGCTGATGTCCTGCCTGTAGTGAGTTGAGGTCATCGTGATGTCTGTCTTCACTCTCTATACGCTGCCTCTCCAGTGACTCCTTGGTTCCTCGGAGAGTCTCCAGCTCAATGGTGCGGCTCTGCAACTGACGGCGGTATTCTGCAATCTCTTCTTGTGTCCCACGAATTGCATCCTGGTTAGACCTGGCAGCTTCTGACAGACGATCTACACGCACTAAATAAATTGCAGACAAAAGAAAAGAAAACATTTAAGTATCATTGTTAATGTTAAGACATTTTGCTGTGTCACACCACTGATCGGCCTGTGTCCCAAAACTGAGAAATTCAGGCTTCTTAGTCCACTGCAATACACTGGCCTTTTTCCCTATGACATTTGGCCTGTCTTCTGTACAGAAGGCCTTAGAGAGCAGACAGTCACTACTGGGAGCCTGAATAACCTTGACAGTGTTCACCTGTCAGTCAGCAGTCTGACTCAGCTCCTCATCCAAGCATAAATGAACCATTGCTACAGTCAGCTGGACACCACGCAAGGAAGGTCATTCTATTTGCACCTTGTATTGGCTGTATCAAGTCAGCATGTAAATGTACAGCAGGTCTGTAGACCATTTGGGGGCGGCTGTGGCTCAGGAGGTAGAGCGGGTCGTTTCCTAACCGGAGGATTAGTGGTTCGATTCCCGGCTTGTCCAGTCGAGGTGTCCTTGATTAGCGGTTCGATTCCCGGCTTGTCCAGTCGAGCTGTCCTTGAACCCCCAGTTGCTCCCGGTGATGTCACCGGTGTGTGAGTGCTTGGGAGTGCGAATGGGTGAATGGCCGAATAATGTGAAAGCACTTTGAGTGTGCTGTAAAAGCATAGAAAGGGCGCTATACAAGTATAAGACCATTTACCATTAACTTGTGTTGAGCATGGAACTGCTGTTAACAACTGTTTAATCAGTTTGTATAATGTCATAAAGTTCACTTCTGATCGTCTGTCTGAAACATGCAGGATACTTCTACATTCTTAGAAAACCACAGCTGTCTGACAGATGACTGATAAAGCATCAGCTGAGTGATGAAGCATCACCACCTGACCTGTATGCCTGCTAGGAGCAGTGACCTTGAAACGACTATTCTGTTTGTGGAGGTTCAGGTTTAGGCAAGATCTATCACCGCAACAGAGACACACAGAGCACATGGGGCGCAAGCAAGAGCACAACCACTGTTGCCTACAGTGAGAGTGTAAATTCATCACTTTTCTCTCTGTGTGCCTTGAGTAAAAATTGTCATTCTGCACACCAACAGAAAGGCACTCCATCAAAACAGGAGGTCAAAATTACATTTTGATCGTTGCACATTTGGTTATCTGCGTTTACTTCGTCTTTTAAAGTTTGCAGTGTGGTAGTATAGCAGCTATCTGTTAGTCAGCAAAAATCTTCAAGTCAAGGATGTGTATGTGTTGACACTACCATGACAACATGTAACTGACCCAGCCTTGCAACCGTGGTTATCCTCGAGAAAGATAATGAAAGATGCTGTTCATTCGTCAGCTTATGCATAACTCTATGGCTAAGAAGGCTATAGCCAACATTCATGTCAGTCTCAGTGGTGTGACTTTAGACTTCAGCACCATGGACAGAGAACAACAACAACTTTATGCACCAAAAAGCTCCAATATACGATTTAAAGTTTTAAAAACTTTTCCGTATTTTTCCTTTTGACCCAACTCACCTTTGAACCATTCTTCAGCGTGCGTCGCGCTCTTGAATGCGTGACTGTCCAGCTGCGAGCGGATTTCTCGCAGCGCGCTGGTTACGTCCGCTTTGAGTGGCTCTGGCATATCAAAGCTCACCTGCGCGCCCTGAATCTGTGCTAGGAGCTCCGCCACTTCTTCCTCGTGGTTCTTCCTTAGAAAAGCTGCCTCATCCTCCAGGGCACGGAGCTTCTTGTCCAGCTCCTGCCGCGCTAGCCGGCACTCTTCAACATACTTCTTCATGGCGCGAGCGGCAGCTTGCAACTCTTCCCGGTTCCGCGCCTCGTCTTCCAGCCTGTCTCGTAGGTGCTGGATGTCCTCCTCTAAGTGCTCGTGCTCCAGAGCCGCGCGAGCCTTCTCACCTGTCAGCTGCTGCAGAAGACCCCTCAGGTCACACAGCTCACGCTCGTAGTGCTCTCCAACCACGGTGCGCCCGGCCTGGCTTTGCCGCAGTGCTGTCGCTTCAGCCTCCAGGTTGCGGTTGTGCATCTCCAAGCTCCGCACCTTGTCAATGTAGCCTGCAAACCGATCGTTCAGAGCCTGCAGAATCTCTTTCTCGGTCCTCCGCGTCATGTCACCGTTGAAGGTCTCCAAGCTGTCGACGGAGGACGGCATGCTGTAGGTGAGACGGCGGCGCTGGGAGTGAAATCCGCTGGAGGAGGCGGAGGCAGGCCGAGCCTTGCGGTACGAGGCCGGACCGAAGAAGTGGTGCTCTACCGTGAAACTCATGCTGGCCAGACCAGAGGAGAACTGACTGCTGTAGGAGGGGGAACGTCGGGCTTATATAGGAGGGAGGGAAAAGGCAGTAGTCAGCACCAGGACACACTTCATTTAAAGAGATACAGTATGTTCTCCTTAGGAATGTAAGCGTTGTGGTCCCTTGTTTATAAGTTGTATTTCACTATGTGTTAATGAGGTGGAGGAGTTTTTTAATGAAGCAAAACCTATAGGTTTTATAACATATAAACTATTTTAAAGCATCACTTTACACTTTCTTTCAAGGTGTTTTGTGCATAAAGCACCTTGGTATAATATTGTGTGTCTGTATGTGTTAAGCCATGAGTCACTTTAGGCCTGTATGTTAATTGCCCTGGTAAATTATAAAAATTTTCAAGGGAAAATGAAAAAATGAACCCTTTTTTTAAACTTATGCTGTGGGTAAAATCTATGAATTGATTATGCGGGTGTGCAGTGTGTGGATGGCCCCTGTAGCTTCACTACTGCAGTGTGAGTTTGCAAATCCACGCCAGCCCCCCTGGGACTCAACTCAGCTGCTGGGCCACTGACAGATGCTCTCTCTCTCACACTTTCTCACTACATACATGTTTGTTTCTGAAGAGTGAATAATGTCCAAATGTATAGATGTGGTTGCTAGTCAAGCATAACATGTTACAGCACTGACATCAAAACAAAAAAAACTGCAGCAGCAACAGTAACTTTATAGTGCACGTACAAGGATGCACACTGAGCAGCGATGATACAGCATTCACAAACCTGATCTGCCTCTGCTGATATAAAGGGATGCCTGTTCTGAAAGGAGGACCAACTTAGAAGAGCACATACAGCACCTATTGATTACTCACACCCAGGGTGAGTGAGTTTATTGTGAATACCTTACAGGAGCAAGGAGAATGGAGAATATTTCCCTTTTCCCTGAGATGTATGCTCAAGAATAGATGGATGAATGTGCAGTGACTATGAGCCATTTTTCATTGATATGAACATGTCAGCTCGGTGACATCAAGGGGATTGCCTACCACGAACAACTTGTACATAACAGTGACAAACTGTCCATCAGTAGTCTGTGAAATAACCAAATTTAGGCAGTTGTCAGCTTCTCAACATGAACACAATCTGCACTCCAGAGCTGCCATGGGAGAATTCCACTAAAATTTTCACACGACCTTTCTTGCCATGTGATGGACAGTGAAAGCCAGTGGAGGTGGGAGGCTCTTGCTATGTAATGACATTGTCCTTGAAGGGCTAGATGGAGAGACAGAGGCTGAGTGAGACAGAGACAGAGCTGAAAAATAGCAGGATCGATGCAAAGGAACCTGTCAGAAAAATGTGAAACCCATCCCAGAGGATTTAAGATGTGAAGAGCAGAATCAAAGATATTATCTGTGTACATTTGTGTGTACATGCCTACGAAACTGGAAGCGTGAGTGTATGCTGTGGAGCAGTGAATACCAAGACTTATTTTGTTTTATAGTGGTAGACTATATTTAGAGCTTTCGATGATTTGAGACTATGATGCTGTGATAAAGGCAGACAATGAAGGTTGCAGACAACAGGGAACAAGAAGATGCACTGATGGAAGGATGGTAGAGACAGGGATGAGAGGAGGTGTGGAACTGGGTGAGAAAAAGGTCACCTTGGGAGGGACAACTGGAAATATGGCTGTCTGGCAGTCTCAAGGATGACTCAGCTGTAATACAGTTAAGTCACTTGTTTTAAACCTGCAAGTGTGTGTGCTTGTGATTGAGAGAGTATAACACTGTGGTCAATGCAGCTTTTTTAATGAGTAGACAGCCATTACATAAAGAGTGAAAGTAAATACATTAAAGTCATGTAATTATGAGGTTTGTCTGCACCATACAGTCTGTGGTCTGCATGTTCATTTTGAATGTTATAAAGTTAATGACCAGAGTTAGAATAATTATCACTTCACATTTTGATGGATGCAAGAGATTTAATGATTGAACTTTCCAGAAGACAACTGAGAGGGGCTCTGTCATAGCATCCCCTGGTGGACAGTAGCAGACTGTCGGTGTGATTTCCAAATCGTCCACTGGGGGCAACACTGCATGTTTAACTACTTCCTGTGTTGCTCACGTGACAACCGAGGGAAACGTTCAAACTGCATAATCGTCTTTTTTTATATACATATATAAAACTGTCATTTAATGTCTAATAAAATATACCACACACTTTCTTTATTTGATAAATGGGTCCAGGAAAACAACAACTTGGTAAACAAGTGGAAGGTACGTTAATATAGAAGTTTATTGTCTCTTTTAAAGCGGTTAAGGTTAGCTAGCTTCCACAACATTGCAAAATAATGTTAACGTTACTGTAATTTATTATACTGTTCAGGTGTAACGTTAGGCTAATCCTTGTCAACTTAAAATGTATATCGGTGGCATCTAATAACATGCTTCAGATCACTGTGTTTGTGGAATTTGCACTGTCTTCCACTGTTGTGTTTTATATTTTGTTTTAGCTGAATATTAAGTACCACACTTGAGTAACCACTGGTTACTGCCTAATGTAGAAACCATTGTGTTACATGCTGCTCATGTTATCAGTTTTCACTTCATGTTTCAGCAGCAGGAAGGAGGGGGAGACACCTTGAGCCGAGACCAGAGCCAGACCCATCTAAAATGGTGTACCTCTGAGTTTGAGACACTTCTAAGGAAAATCCAAGGTGCTCAATTTCCTTCATCATACAAAGTCCACATTTTGTGAAGTTGTTGAATCTGACTCTTACATTTATATATAATCATTTTTCTCCATGTCTTTGTCCTGCAGGTGTTCCTCCTCTTGCTGATCACACTCAGTTGGAGGTGTCAGTGGTATACAATGCCTGTGTGTGCTTTACTGCCCAGTCTCAGTTCACAGAAGCTGAACTGCTCCTTAAACAAGCCACAGAGAGAGGTAAGTTTTTACTGTGAAACAATGATAAAACCCTAGATGGAGATGACACAGGAACTAATGCCATACATCTTAGTTTGAAGCTGTGCACAGCTCTGACTTTTACTGCCTGCTGTTTTCCCTTGCAGCTCTACAGATGGCAGGAAATTTTCCTGTTGCTTCAGACCCTCCTGTGTTGTGGAGAACAGTTCTCAAATCAGTGGAAAACACAGCTTTGAATTCCTGCGTGTTGTACCTTCTCTGTCTGCAGTGGGCGATATGGCTGGCCACTTGCCAGTTGAAAATGATAGAGGAATTCCAGGTAAGATCCTGTTTCTAGGCTGAGTATAGAGGCAATCCCAGCTGACATTGGTGAGAAGCGGGGTACACACAGGCCAGGCCAGTCTGTCACAGGGCTGACATGTACACAAACAATTACATCCCTCTGCCATCAGACTCCTAAACAGCTGGAGTTTATTACCAGGAAATACGTCATGTACTGTCGACCTGTACTGTTTACATTCTCAGTTTGCACATGCATAATTGCACATGCACTGACTACTGCACATACAGCTCCCATGTAGTATACATTCTCTTATTATATTCTTATATATTTTTATTATATCTCTTCATTTGTTGCTTTAAAGTGCCTTAGATTTTGTGTTACTTATTTATCTACTTTATGTTTTGTTTGTATTGTGTGGCATTCATGTGGACGGCAAAGTAAGAATTTCATTGTACAGGGAAACGCGTTTCCGTACTGTGTATATGATAATAAACACTTTGACTTTGACTTCACTCACACACTCTGACTCCTACGGGCTAGAACCTTCTTGCTGTGAGGCGACAGCACTAACCACTGCACCATGCCGCCTTACCGTATATACAGTATCTTTGAATTAAAATGGTATTTTACCCATCATGTAGGTCTTCATGCTTTGCTGTAACCTTCCTTTTGATCTGACTACCCTTTGATACTTTTGAGATAAATGTCTTACACCAACTGCTATCAAGTGTTAGTCTCCAATCCCACAGAGTTTAAATATGTTTTTGTTTGTTTCTTTGAAGAAAAACTGAAGAAATGCAGACTTTCTTCAGAACAATTCAAGTGCAGTATTACCCTATATCTGTGATCCAGGAAGAGCTGACTTCTCTTGTTGAGACACTGCCTGATGGAGTTTGGGATGACAGGAGGAGCAAGGCAAGGGGAAAGTCCTTTGACATTTCACTGTTGGTGATGGAACCAAGAAGGCTTGTTGAATTATTGCAGATTTGCACTTCCATTGCTCAAGGTCAGCTACATTCATGGCATTTGTAAATGCACATTGAAAAACCTGATACAGTTTGTTGTGAGCGCACTCAAATATTGTATAAAGCTTAAGCATTGAGTTAAAGTTTTGATTTCTTTCCTGTGCATTCTAAATATGGTTCACCTTGGTGTAGATAGTTCACCAAGGTTCATAAAATCTGCAAACATTTTTATTTTTATTTTTTAATTCACACACAGAAGTATGAGTTGATTCATGAACTGGATCCCCTTGTTTGGAGTGCAGAGTAAATTAATCCTGTGTTTTGTTGTGCTCTGTATGTTTCATTAAGGTGCAGAAAGGTTGAGTGAGGGCCATAGTTCAGAAGCTCTGTCTGGCCTCCAGATAGCATCTTCCCTACCAGCTCCCAGAATTCTAGTCGCATACACTCACTTCCTGTCAGGCTCCTGTCTTGCACACATGGTACTCATTCAGACTACTCATACAAACAGAAGTTTAGTATGTATCATGCATGGGCCTAAGACGTTGTAACACGTGTTTCCAGAGCCGCCCTCAGATGGCACTGCAGTGTTACAGGAAGGCCCTGGAGACTGACTTCAGATGTGTATGTGCTCTGTACCAGAGCATGCTCATCTACAGACAACTGGGTAACACACAGGCTGAGATACAGGCTCTTCACTTACTGCACTCAGTGAGTAACACACATACACAGTACAGATCCATACATACATACGAACAGATGAGAAAAAAAGGGTTCCAGTTGCTTGTAAAATTAGTGTAATCTTTTATCTTGCAAAGAAATTATTTTTATTCTTAAAAAGTAGTTCCTGCAAAAAAATTTAGTTTTGAACACGGACACATATTTGCTTAAGTGTGGATCTGAATTTTGAAATATGAAACCTCTCTTGTGCCACAGACCAGGATGTTGCCCTCTGCTACAGAGCCTGCTCTGGCCTGTACCCATCTCCTCTCCCCATCTTCACTGCTCCGTAGCCAGTCACTGAGCAGCCTGCTCTCAGTTCCTTCTGCCCTTTCTGTCCTTCACAATCTGGCCCTGAAGTGTGTGCTCCATGGGAGGTGAGAGGACTAGCATAGAGCTCAGAGTCTCTGTCACTTTCTTTTACTGGTACCTGAACACTTTTAAAAACCATAATATGTAGTGCACATTGTTAAATGAGTGTGGTTGCTGTTCCTACAGGGTGTCTGAGGGTGTGGAACATTATCTGGACCTGCTGGCTGCTTTTCATTCAGAAGATCACCAGGTAATAAGAGTGAAAACACTCAGAGACACTTAAGACATGCAAGCCAGTAAGCTCTTGATACACGACTGTGCATGTTACAAGCTAATTTATGAAATGTCAGAATGTCTTGACCCAGTGAGGAATACAGTATGAACATATTAACTAACATCTCTTTGCTGTACATCTCTCTCTCAGGTCCATGCTGAAGTCCCACCCCTCCCCAGGTTGACTGAGCTTTACCTAGAGGCTGGCACTGCCTTGCTCATGGCCCAGCGACCTGCAGATTGCATGGCGTTATGCGATGAAGTCATCAGCACGACACTGGAATTGCTACCAGAGAAGCTCATATTAGAAGAGCTAGAGCAGAGGAATGAGATCAGGGATGTGAGTGTGGAGGGTGAGGATAGGGTGGCGATGCTGCTCTGGACCGGGGCTGCCTACCTCCTGCAGGGTCACTGCCAGACTCACCTGAAAGACTGGAAACAAGCTGTGATTCACTACACAAGGTCTGTGTGTTTATTTCCATCATAAAGTTTATGTTAGTATATAAACACACAAGACTGTGTTCTGCATTACAGGTGTATCAACCTGCTGATGAAGGTGTGGTTTAAAAAAAGAGGTGAGTGCCATTCTGACTTTTTCATACTTAGGAGAGAAACTTCCATTTTTACACAACCTGTAGCTACATTGTGCATGTTATTCTTTTGATTACAGGATTCCAACCACAGATTCCCAGTGCAGACATGATTGTGAAAGAGGGAACATATTTGTCTGTCCTCCAGAAACTGAAAGGGCTTTCACTAGCTGGTAGGGGCATCAGCTTCACCCAGACAGACCAGCTGAAAGAGGCACTGAGAGACCTCCAGCTCAGCCTGCAGGCATTCCCAGGTATACACACACAGCATATTTTTGACACTAGATTATTGCAGTCCCTGTAACAGCTTGATCATACAGTTAAGGTCTGTCATAGGCAGACACTTTAGGCTGACACTTAGGTATTACTAACTACATGCTAGTTACTTTTTTTTTTTAAAGTAGCTCAAAGTTTAAATAAACAGTTTTTCCAGTGTGACAACACAGTGTAATTTAAATCTTATTCCTTGAATAAACAGAGTATGATATGATATTGAATGTGTATTCAGACCAAAGGCCCTGTAATTCTGAATTTGAAAACAATGTCTGTCCATTTGTTTAGTGCTAGTCTGTTGGTAATGACAGTACCATTAAGGGGTCTTAATGAAAGTGGAACTCATTTTCCTCACATCATCTCTGCTCTTTAATGTGAAGCAGCTGGTTAAAAAAAATGTGAAACCTGAACTGTAACTATGATCTTCAACTATAAGACTTTGATGTTTTTACACACAGCACCTATAGTATATTCTTTTCATGCATGAGCCAGGAGCTGTAGGTGCCTGCATGAATTCACCGCAGGACTGTAGTAAGTGTGTACTGGGTGATCCCTTATTAGAACCCATCATCATGCTGTATGTGCTGTCTCAGAGTGTGTGGGTGCCGGGCTGTGGTGTGGTGAAGTGCTGTGGAGGCTTGGCAGGAGACGCATGGCAGCAGCTCACTGGGAAAAAACCTGGACGTTCAGTGCACAGTCCTCATTAGAGTAAGACACTATCATTCTGTCATTCACTGTCTTCCCTACATTTGTGGTTTTTATGGTGCAGTATGTCATACAGTGTACACTTCAGCCCTGACTAATCTCACAAAAACAACAGATTCACCTATTGTAAAGATTTCAACTGTTGATAGTTGTCGCTGTTTAAGTTGCTGCAAATGAAGCATCTTGTATGTTAATATTAATTCACTTCACTTTTACTGGTATGAAGGGGAAATGGCATCATATGGTTGCTTGAACTCAAATACTGTACATATTTAAATAGTGTAAAAGTTAGGCAACAAAGAGGGACTACAATGGCAATACTGGTTTGATTTTGATCCAGATGGCCATGTATAGATGTGCTTTTTTTTCCTAAAATTTGCTAACAAGTGGTTACTCGGAATACATTTTAAATTCATTCACATATGAACTGCAGTTTGTCTCAGTTGGATCTATGTACAGCCTGTGTATGTGTTGATTTAACATAGGCCTAAACATGATTTTTTCCCCCCCAAAAATAATATTTAATAGTAGTTCAATAAGTGTTTTGTTGTTTTAGTTAGAGCACATTCACTATAATATAATATTAGTGTCCTTCTGATTTTCTGTTTGACTTTTCTGTTGCAGAAGTCTTCCTGTGTACCTACAAGAACCTCAGTCTGGCCCTTCGTTGGACTCCACCGAGCTGCGCCACAGAATACAGGAACTTGGTCCTATCTAGTTACCCTGGAGAGGGACAAAAGAAGAATGCCCTATCACTTACTGAACAGGATCGCCTTTCTCCGGCCTGTGAAGTGGAACCCATACTCACAACATACATGTTGACTTAATGGGACAGTAAAAAAATATTCGAAGGATTGATATGTTTGAGGCTGCTAAACAATGTGGTTGGTAAATCTGGCAGGTATTTTATGACTGTAATGATACTGTAATGTTGCTTGCTCACTGAGGGTAAACTGGCTTTTAGGGGGCTGTGCTTGCGTTAGATGTCATCAAGACTTTCTTTAATAACTGATTAAGCAAATAAGAATATAGTACAGTACTATTTAGGAAGAAACTATACTGCTGCTCTGAAATGAAAATGTTTATACAGGGTTTGTATGGGTTTTTCCTATAAATAAAACTCGCAGATTAATTTCTCCAGGTATTTGCCTATATGTTGTTATTTGCAGGGGTAAACGGACCGATTTCATGTTTTTACGATTCTTCAATATCAACGCGGTAAACGTTAATTGGATGACAGAATTTTGGGTAAGAGACCAATAAGAGAAGGGTTGATACAAATGGAAACAGCCCACAAAATTTTAATTGGCTAAAGTTCCACAACGCTTTAGCTGACGACAGACTTCAATTTCATTCATTGGCTGTCCAATGTATCCGAGAGCTTCCACCCAATCCTAATGAAGGATGCGTCCAGCTCATGGTATAATTGTAAAGAAAGCACGGAAACGACTGCTTTTTCGTGTGAAATCACAGGAGGTTGAGTAACGAGAACAGATTAAGCTTATAAAGATTTAGCTAGAATTTATTTATTGATCATAATCCAGGTGGACGACCATGGCCTCGGGAGGGGAGTAAGTAGAAACAGCGTTTAGTCTGATCAAAAGGTTTTTTTTTTTAAACAATGGCTATCAGCAAAAGCCCTTTAAATGGCTAACGTCAGCTCAGAATACGCTAGTTTATCAAAGTTAGCTCGATTGCTAATGTATTACTGAGTTTGCTAACACGAGCTAATGGGGTCAGTTATTTCAACCTCGGCAATTTTGTCCTTTGGTTGGAAAACCTGATAATGAGGGTTGGATATTATCCGACAAATTGTTGGCACTTGTTAAACTGTTGTCATCCATACGGCTGTTGTTAGTCTATTAACAATATTGAGTTAACGTTAGCCAGCTGTATGACAGCGACTTGACAAAGCGCCGTCATTGCTGTCGTGTTTGAAGGCTAACGCTAGCTTAATAACACTGACAAGGCCAAAGCAGTCTACCGTCATAGCGACAAGTTGGCCTATCCACCGGTTAATGGCCTATGTTTAAACCGGGCGTCAAATTGCAAATGGAGGAAATTTAAATATACTCAGCAAATTGTACATACTTTGGCAAAACACTAGCAGTTTTACGAAAGATAACACTTTTCATCCAGGTATTTAACTTCGTGGCTAGATGTCGATAGCCACTCGACATAGTGCACCGAAGCTAGCAGGCTAACAAGTTGACTGTTCATTCTAAATGATCGACAATTTACTTGGGCTCTGTTTCGCTGTTAGCTAAACAGTTGTGAAATAACGCATCTTAATAATATTTCGTTACCACTGATGTTGGCAACTAATGTATTTAAAGTCGTAGTAAATTTGTAACGTTAGTCTGACTGAGGGGCAGCCAAGCTAGCGAGCGAAAAGTTTTTTCTAATTCTTTTGCTGTGTCATCTGGGCTCGCTAGTTCGCCAGACGTTTAGCTTAAATGCTAGCATTAGCATGCTAGCAAAATGAAAGATACTATAAAACCGGTCCAAGAGTTTTCTAGAAACATGGTTTTGGCAAACTTATTATTATTATTATTATTATTATTATTATTATTATTATTATAGGGGTGTATA